TTTTGTGGGCCATTTTTGGCCCTGAAAATGGCCGAAAAACAGCCCAAAAACATGCATGCATGCGCTGGCTAACTAGTCTTTGGGTTTCCGGTGCTCCAGAGCACGCATATGAATGCACATTCTGGTTTGAGCACTCGGTACCAAAAAGGTTCGCCATCCCTGCTCTAGAGGAAACAAAGAGACCGTCAGCATTTCAATGCTGCCATAAAGAGGAGGAGGCTTGACTTTTCACCTACTTATTTTCTCTGTAGATAATATCCCCTAGGAGATGGGATGGGAGGGGGACATTCCTGGGGTTGAAGGCAGGAGCTGGGAAGACTGACTTGGAAGATGGCCAATGAGAAGATGAGAATTGGGGAACGGAAAGGGACGGGTTTGGGGTCAGAGGGTTAGTATCGGCTACGACGAAGTCCGGGCCAGATCTGTCGTACTCAATAAATGGAATATTTCAGCAAAGATTAATTGCTTGGGAGTGCAATTTATTTGAGATGACATCGAAACCTGACAGAGACATACCAGTTTAGAGTCCATTCTGGGGAGGAAACGTTTTGAGGTCCAATTCTTAGGTCTGTATCTGGCCTTTCCCAAGGGAAGGCAGAAGACAATCTGGTGAGATTCTTGCATTAGACATTCAACAGTAAACTATCTAATTGGGTTTATCCACTAATGGTTCGGGGCTTAGTTGCTTTTGTCCAGAGGTTTCATGACCCAGCTAGATATCATCATCAGTTCAACAGCAGCAAAAGCCATCCTTTTCAGGCTTGTACCAAAGCATGAAGAAAAGGCTTTGTGTGTTTCAACAGAGAGCAGGAAGTGCTAATGTGAGGTCTGAAGTACTTCCTCCAAATTGTTTTCAAGTGTGCACAGCTTTAATGTACAAGCAATCCTCAACTTTGCAGGAGGATTGCAAACTGTTACACTAAACAGTTCGTTTAGTGACACCGCTGTGACAGGCCCTTCAGTGCTAGTCCCAAAGGTGCTTTTTTTCAAGAGGCAACAGGACTTTCTGGTTTCCCTTTGAAAATGTTTCACTTCTCATCTAAGAAGCTTCTTCAGCTCTGACTGGATGGTGGGGAATGGAAGGATTTATACTCCTTGCAGGCAGCTGGGCATTTGCATCCTTTTAGAGCAGTGGGTCTCAACCTTCCTAATGCCGCGACCCTTTAATACAGTTCCTCATGTTGTGGTGACCCCCAACCATAAAATTATTCCTAAAACCATTGAAAATATGTGTTTTCGGATGGTCTTAGGCGACCCCTGTGAAAGGGTCGTTCGACCCCCAAAGGGGTCCCGACCCACAGGTTGAGAACCAGTTTTAGAGAGTCGTTGAGATCATCTGGAGCTTTAGCTGTGTCATCAGGGTGACCTGAGTGGTGTGGAGTCTTCTTGGAACTGTTGACTGTATTGTAGGTTGTAGATAAGATGATGTGATATCCCTTCCCATTCTGTTTAGAGAGGGCTGTTCAATTTTGACATAGATGGCCTCTTTAACCCCTCTTTCAAACCAGCAGTCCTCTCTGTCCAAAATATGGACTCCAGTGCTAGAAAACTGCTATCATGTCTCCCCCCAAGTCTTCTTTTTGTTAGGCTAAACATACCTAGTTCTGTTAGTTGTTCATCATATGATTTAACATCTAGGAAAAATTAATTTACTAAATCTGGAGGGGGAAAGGTGCTGGGCTTACCGCTACCTTACCGAGACTTATGCATGTCACTTTGCCTATTGCACATTGATTTTTATAGGCATCTACTTAAGATGTCAAGGGGAAGGCTGATTCCCACGCTTAATTTTTTTGCAGAGGATCAGGGAAATCCTTTAAAGAAATAAAATTGGCACACGCTGTGGAAGAAACAGCTCTGGAATTATTGAAATTAGGGGGGAAAAAAGATATAGACAGGGCTCACACTCAGAAAGGATTTGCATGTTACAAAGGTGACTTTTGGGCTGCCAACCAGGTGTGAAATCCAGAAGGTTCTGACAGGTTCTGAAGAACTGGGAGCGGAAATTTTGAGTAGTTCGGAGAACTGGCAAATACCACCTCTGGCTGGCCCCAGAGTGGGTGGGAATGGGGATTTTGCAATGTCCTTCCCCTGGAGTGGGGAGGGAATGGGGATCTTTTTTTTTTTTAATTTGATTTATATGCCGCCCTTCTCCGGAGACTCAGGGCGGCTTACAATGTGCTAAGCAATAAGCAATAGCCTTCATCCTTTTGTATATTTATACAAAGTCAGCTTATTGCCCCCACAACTGGGTCCTCAATTTACCTACCTTAGAAAGGATGGAAGGCTGAGTCAACCTTGAGCCTGGCGAGATTCGAACCTGCAGTAATTGCAGGCAGCTGGTCTTAATAACAGGGTGCTTTAGACCACTGTACTACCAAGGCTCTTTTGCAATATCCTTCCACTGCCACGCCCCCAAGCCACACCATGCCCACCAAGCCACGCCCACAGAACTGGTAGTAAAAAAATTTGAATTTCACCACTGCTGCCAACCATATGCCTCCTTAAAAATGTTAATTCTGAATCAGGTAGACAGCGGTCTTCCAGGAAGAACAGCAGTGAAATTAAATGGTGTGCGTGTTTTTTTTTAAAAGACCGTAGCCGCAGCGCCTGTCGTGATGGAGGGCAGTTTCTTTGAAACTCCGAGCTATCAAAGTGTTCAATCTCCCTCTTTATTTCCTCCTCCATCATCCCAGCCCCAGCCGACACAAAATTTCAAAGAATTTCCCCTCCCCACAGATGTGCACAGATTAGCAGAGAAAGGGTGTAATTAAAACGTAGCACAGAACAGATTTTTCCACCCCATTAAAAAACAAAAAAAACAAACAACCAACAACAAAACTTAGTCCCTGATGGCTTTCAGAAGTGTCAGATAAAAATGTTCAGACTCAACTCAGGCAGCCAATTCCAGACAGCCAGGCTATATAAGCTCACCTCCTACAAGCTGGCATCAGCCCAAATTTGCTGGAAGCCATGGAATTAAACACTCCCAACACACCTAGAAGAGGCCAGCTGGAAACAAAAATTAATTCCCAGTAAAAATGGGGAAACCTGGAGGGAAGAGGCATAAAACAATCCAATGAACTTAGAAGAGGTTGGCAGATTGATCGAAAAGGAGACAACTACAGAAAATTGGGTGGTATCAGAATAAGGTATCATGGAACAAGGGACTATTTGATTGGCATAGTCAACAGGACAGAAGACTCCGCAATGTTCCTCCTCCTGCTGCTGCTAATAGTAATTCTATTCCTTCTTTCTGCTTGTGTTTGTGGGGTCCTTGGTGCTCCCTGAGCTTGGCTGTTTTCTTGCAGACGTTTCATTACCCAATTAGGTAACATCATCAGTGTAGAAGGGTGTAGGGCTTGGTCTCTGCTTTTATGCAAGTGGCTTGCTCTGTCACTGTTGGTTGGTAGTTTTGTGGTTCCTTGATTAGGTTGTTTACTGAGCCACCAAGAAAATTTCTACCAACACTGACAGGAAAAGTCAATATATAAACAGAAAGCAAACCCCACTCCCGTCTAGCACTGATCATGTAACCTAGTTGGGTAATGAAATGTCTGCCAAAAAAACAAACAAGCTCAAAGAGCACCAAGGACCCCACAAACGTGGCAGCTGGATGCTCTGTCCCATATTTGGGTAGATCAGGTTGCCCTGAGAGACTGGTCTCACCGGAAAAACACTTAAAACAAGCTCAGAGGGCATCAAGGACCCCCCCAGTTTAACCCAGAGTTATAAATATTCTCTTCTCTCAGCTGCATTTGTTCCGGTGTGCTTAAAGAAAGTTCTCTTTCTGGGATTGGTTTCTGGGATTGGTGGCTCAGTAAACAGCCTAATCAAGGAACCACTAAACCAGGAGGAGTATTTATTTATTTATTTATTTGTTTAAATTTCTATACCGCCCTTCTCCAATATAGGACTCAGGGTGGTGAACAGCCAAAGTAAAAACAAGACATACAAAATCTAAAAACTGTTTAAAATAATTAAATATTTTGGCCGTAATTAAAAAAAGTAGAGGGATAGATAGGAGGGGAGAAGAGAGGAAGGAGAGAGAGGAACAGAAGAAAGGGAAAAGGAGAGGAAGAAAGGGAGGGGAAATAAGAGTAGGAGAGAAGGTTAGAAGGGAGGAAGAAGGGAGGTGTGGGGGAAAAGAAGGGGAAGGAGAGAAGGGGAAGGAGAGGAGAAAAGAAGAAAATAGAAGAGGATAGAAGAAGGGAGGGAAGGGAAAGAGTGGAGAAGAAGAAGGATTGCTGTAAGGGAGATGGAATGGTAGAAGAGCAGGGGTGAAATCCAGCAGCTTCTGACAGGTTCTGGAGAACTGGTAGCGGAAATTTTGAATAGTTCAGAGAACCAGCAAATATCACCTCTGGCTGGCCCCAGAGTGGGGTGGGGATGGAGATTTTGTAATATTCTTCCCCCAGGAGTGGGGTGGGAATGGAGAATTCGCAGTATCCTTCCCCTGCCACCAAGCCACACCACGCCCACCAAGCCATGACCACAGAAGCGGTAATAAAAAAAATTTGGATTTCACCACTGTAGAAGAGCAACCCCGAAGATACTTAAATTGGGTAACGAACTAATATGAAAGTCAAAAGAGAATGTGCATGATTAACGAGAGATAAGAGACTGTACATTGAAGACATGTTTATGAGAAATAAAATTAAAAAAAAAACTTTTTCAAAAAAGAAAAGAAAAAAAAAAGGAACCACTAAACCACCAACCAACACTGACAGAGCAAGCCCCTTGCATATAAGCAGAGACCGAACCCCACTCCTTTCTACACAGATTGGTTTCCTTCCCAGGGGCCAAACAAGAGGGCCCAGGCCTCGCCTTGGGTCTCCGTCGGGTGCCACAAAAATCTTGCATTTTGCAAACTCCACCTGTGGGTAGAAGAGCTCCTTTTATGCTCCACCTCTTCTCAAGGTGAGATTCCGGGAAAGACACACAGTTACCAAACCCGGAGCCAACTTTGCATTGTGAAATGCTCGAAGAGATTCATTTACCTTGGCAACTGTTTTCACTTGGCTGGTTTTCTAAACCCTGGGTAGACCGATGATGGATTTTAGTTTTCTCTTCCTGTCACTGAAGGTCTCCAATTCTTCCCCTTGTTTTTCCCTTCTTCCGTCCCAGCGAAACTGTCCTCCTTCAGCAGCAGAGAAATAGGCCCATGCTTGAGATCTTCAAATCTTCATGGATCTGCAAAAGAGAGAGCAGAGAAATCAGTTCGATTCCAAGATTGTGATCATGCATATATATCTGTAGTCAGTGGTGAAATCTAAAATTTGTTACTACTGGTTCTATGGGTGTGGCTTAGTGTGTGTGTGTGGGGGGGGTAATGTGACTGGTTGGGCGTGGCCAATTTTTTTTTTTTTACTTTTAAAACCATTTTTTGTAAAATAAATGCTTTCAAAAGGCTCTGACAATCCCAGCTGAGTTTTTTTCTTTTAAAAGCCTCTGCCGATCAGGCAACTCAGCTGGGATTGTCAGAAGTTTTTAAAAGTATTTTTTCTACAACCTCTTCAGAGGTTGTAGAAAAAATGCTTTTAAAAGCCTTTGACGATCCCAGCTGAGCCGTGTGATCATCAGAGGCTTTTTTTTTTTTACCTTTAAAAGCATTTTTTCAACCGAAGAGTTTGTAGAAAAAATGCTTTTAAAAATTAAAAACAAAAAGCCTCTGATGATTGCGCGGCTCAGCTGGACATGGGGGGGGCCAAGGATTTTTGCTACCGGTTCTCTGAACCACCCGCCACCATCGCTACCGGATCGGGCAATCCGGTCCGAACCAGGAGCAATTCACCCGTCTCTAGGTATATATCTCCCACCCAGCCCTGAAGGAAAGATTAGTTTGGATTTTTTAAAATTTTCTCCCTCTCTCCCTAAATAATCTTGTATTTCATGTGGGAAGGCTATCTTAGATTTGCTGAGAATATAGTACACGTCACCCTCGATTTACGACCACAACTGAGCCCAACATTTCCGTTATTAAGTGAGGCGTTTGTTAAGTGAGTTTTGCCCCATTTTACGACCTTTCTCGCCTCAGTTGTTAAGTGAATCACTGCAGTTGATAAGTTAGTAACCCGGTTGTTAAGTGAATCTGGCTTCCCTATTGACTTCTGCAAAGGTCGCAAAAGGGGATCACAGGACTTTGGGACACAGCAATGGTCATAAATGCGAACCAGTTGCCAAGCATCTGAATTTTGATCCCATGACCATGGGGATGCTGCAAAGGTTGTGACTGTGAAAAAACGGTCATAAGTCACTTTTTTCAGTGCTTTGAACAGTCACTAAATGAACTGTTGTAACTCGAGAATTACCAGTAATGGAAACCAACATGCCTCCCCACCCCCTCTAACTTTCCTTTTTTGGGGGTGGGGGTGTTTCCTCTAAATTCAAGATCTTCTGCTAATTGTGTTGTTGTAGGAGATGACCAGGCTGAGCCTGAGGGAGAGGTCAAACAAGTCATAAGTCACGAGTCCCTGCCGGTCTTGAATGCCTTTCTTATCTCCCGCTCTTTTCCCTTGACTGTTAGTTGGCCGGATTCTCATACAGAGCTTAAGCTGGCAATAAATCTTTAAACTCATTTGAATCTCCTGATTTCCCCGGCCTGCTTGACAGTTGTGTTCCTGACGCTGCTACTACTAATAATAATAGTTCTATTCCACCTTTCTGCTTGAAGCCACCTGAATTATTTTGAGCTGGTCATTCTTTCAGCCCATCCCTCCTCCTCCCGGGATGGTTGTTATGGGAAAAATAGAAGGGAGCACAATATACAATCATACAAAACAAAAATGGGATACTGAGAAGCAAGGAAAGAAAGAAGTAAAACATTTATATACGTATTTTATATGAGTCCTGTGCGCTTAGTCTTTATGAAGTTTGTTTCAAATTCTATAAGCAAGGCTGACTGAGATTGCAAATGGAGCTCAAGATTGCACAATGCTTCGGTCAATGAAGTTCCTAATGTCCAGTAGTTCCACTGGTACTTATTACAAGTGTATTTATGCCACTCCAGTCAAAAATATGAACCTGAATAGCTTAGATTCCCATAATTGTCACCAATAATGATGCAGATTGAATGAAACTGTGCCAAGATCATGGGAATCACCCATGCGGAGCATTCTGGGATCCAGAAAGAATATGGGATGGAATGAGTATGGTGTTGGACTAGGATTACCCAGGTTCAAATCCACCTTTAGCTATGAAACTTTGTGAGATGACTTTGGGCCAATTTCTCTCTCCCTCCCTCCCCCTCCCCCCTCCCCCCTCTCTCCTTCCTTCCTTCCTTCCTTCCTTCCTTCCTTCCTTCCTTCCTTCCCTCCCTCCCTCCCTCCCTCCCTCCCTCCCTCAAGCCTATCTCTAAGATTTGTTCTTGGTGGGATCAAGCAACAGGAGATCCCCTGAGAAAAGCAGGAGAGAACTGCTAGGATCTAGAGTAGTGTTTCTCAACCTTGGCAACTTTTAAGATGGGTGGGGGACTTCAGCTCCCAGAATTCCCTAGCCCATGCTGGTTGGGGAATTCTGGAAGTTGAAGTCCACCCAACTTAAAGTTGACCAAGTTGAATCTTCTGGGATAAGGATTTGGTGGTCTTTTGGGGTATGTGCTCTCTAAGCTTGGTTGTTTTCTTGCAGATGTTTCATTACCAAACTAGGTAACATTATCAGTGCTAGTAAGAAGTAGGGTCTGCTCTCAATTTATAGTGGATTTAGTGGATTGCCCTATCTGTGTTGGTGGTTCTTTGAGAGGACCTCTCATTTCAATCCTGAACTACTCTTAAATATTCTCCTTGGTAGTCCCACAGATCTGAGGTTCCGATCCAGACCATGTTGCCAAAGAAAGGACTTTGGTCCTTCTGAATGGCTGCAATGGCTTTATTAAAGCCAGCTGAAGACATGTTACCAAGACCCGATGGCCTAGGGGTAGAGCTCTTGCCTCACAATCAGGAGGTTGTGAGTTCGATCCTAGATAGAGGCAGATGTAGGGTCTCTGCTTGGGCAGGGGGTTGGACTCGATGACCTGCAAGGTCCCTTCCAACTCTATTAATCTGTTATTACTACCGAAGGGTCAAGCAGACACTTCTCCTGTCCCACATATAGAAGCTAAGCAGCATCTAATTTCAACAGTTGGCAGTAAGAGAATATGTTGAAATAAAGAAGCCCAGAGAAGGCTAGGTAGAAAACAGATGACTGTTCTCCATTATTTTGCTGCTACCTTTTTGGTTTTCCTGGCATCTGCTGCTGAGGGGTCCCTACATACCTAATGGTAGGGCCCAGCCTGACCCAGGATGCTCCTATTGTGGTGTACCTGGCTTGTGTAACAATTGGGGAGGACCTCAGTCCCAACTGACAGTACACAGCCTTGGTTTTGAAGACACAAGCCAAGATGCCCCTTGCCTGCCTCTATCTCTTGGACATAGCAGACAGCTTGAAATCATCTGGCATCAAAGCAAGCTTGCAATTTTTTCCAGAATTACTCCTTCTGCTAAGGAGACCTTTGCTTCCCTATCTTCTCCAGGATGCCAGGAACGTTCTTCCAAATTTCTTCCAGTGGCTTTTTTTTTTAAAGCTTTCTTTATTGCTGAAAGCAGTAGAAGGTGCATTATTGCTGATGTCGTCATTTCTTTGGCTGCCTACCTGAAAAAGTTCCTTCCTGTGGCCTTTTATGGGGTGAAGTAAAAGTACAGAAGGCTATAGAATCCTATTTATTAAAGCAGGCAAGATAAGAAACAATGGATGGAAAATAAACAAGGAGATAAGCAACCTGGAACTAAGGAGAAATTTCCTAACGGTGAGAACAATTAACCAGTGGAACAGCTTGCCTTCAGAAGTTAAAAAGAGACTGGACAGCTGTTTGTCCAGAAAGGTATTGTGTCTTCTGCTTGAGTAGGGGTTGGGCAAGAAGGCCTCTACCACTGCTGGATGAAAAAAAATCCAAGACTGCATAACTGTATAACAATCTATTTTGTGAATAAAATCTTCTAAATGCAATCCATTGCAGAAAAACAAACAAGAGAGAACAACTAGAATGTCAATAGAAAATGAAAGGTGGAGTAGCACAAACACAATATTAGTAAGGTAAAGGTAAAGGTTCCCCTCGCACATATGTGCTAGTCGTTCCCAACTCTAGGGGCCGGTGCTCATCGGCGTTTCAAAGTCGAAGAGCCCGCGTTGTCCGAAGACGCCTCCGTGGTCATGTGGCCGCATAACTAAACACCGAAGGCGCACGGAACACTGTTACCTTCCCACCAAAGGTGGTCCCTATTTTTCTACTTGCATTTTTTATGTGCTTTTGAACTGCTAGGTTGGCAGAAGCTGGGACAAGTAACGGGAGCTCACCCGGTTAACACTTCACTAGGGATTTGAACCGCTGAACTGCCGACCTTTCGATTGACAAGCTCAGTGTCTTAGCCACTGAGCCACCTGTTCCAACTCTGTTATAGAGCTTCCCTTAGTGCAGGAGAGGGAATCGTACAATGCGAAGAATGTTTTCCCGCACCCTTGTCCCACACCTCATTCCGAAGTAAAGAACTTAACACTGCAGCCTTAAGAATTTCTCTTTTGGAAGGATATTCGCTTTCATCAAATTGAATAGAACTGGGAAGGGGGGAAAAAAAAACACCCCACAAGATACAGGAATATTCTTCTGCACAATACCGGTATTAAATATACTATTCTCCCCCAGTCCTTTGTCAATGTGGTTATCTATTTTTTTTTTTTTAAAAAAAAGAGTTCCGGGACGGGCTATTTTTCTCTGCTGCCTTGATCTTCTCCCTTTTGTTCCGTCTTTAAGCTCCTCGCCTTCTCAAGTTCTTGGCCCTCCAAAGGGCTGCCTGCGTCAAAATAGTATTTAAAACCCTTTTCTGGCGAATGATGGACCTCTCTCTCTCTCTGTGTGTGTGTGTGTGTGTGTGTGTGTGTGTGTGTGTGTGTGTTTATTGGCTGGTGGAAAGTCTTACGTTTAAGCCTCACTGAGAAGAGGCATAATCCTGGCACAAGGTCTATTGCCAAGGATGGGTATCTGTTTGGCAACTGAAAAGGATAGGGAAATGCCACTGGCCAAGCCTGTTGGAGCCGCAGGTGCCAACCCCTTTTGGCACAAAACGGGGGCATAGATATGAAGGCAGATGTGAAGGAGCGGGGTGCAGGAAACAAAGGGGAATTCGGCTGTGGCCTGGGCCTGTGAGTTAATCAGCTATCGTGCGGCATATTTGCCGAAAGAACAGAAAATAAAAACCCCAGCATGAAAGCATACAATTCCTTTTTGCATTATTCAGAGCTGGCGAGTGGATGAAGGGTGTATGTACGCACATCCACAAGAGATTTTACAGGTAGCCTCGACTTACAACACTTCACTTAGTGAAGGTTCAAAGTTGCAACAGCAAGAATATGGAGATTGGCATAAAAAAATAACATATTGAAATGTTGAATAATTAAGGAAAGATTATAATTCAACCAAATATGTGTATTACTGCTAAAAGTCTATAAGATTGTTAATTGGGTTAAATATGAAGAGTATTGATTTATTTGGACTAAAACGTAACTCTGGTGCCACACTGTTCACACAACGATATGTTTGTAGAAAAATAAAAAACAAAAAACTTTTTTACAAAAAAAAAAGAAGGAAGGCGCTTCATTATTTCTGCTTAAAACCCCGAAAACAAACAAATACAGTATAAATGATCATTAATGGTCACTTGAAGGAAACTTTGACGCAATGGCTGTGAGAAATAAATAAATAAAATGAAACCTTAAAAAAAAAAGTGAGCGATGCCCCTTTTTCACACTTACGACCCCATGGTCATGTAATATACATGCAGATGCTTGACAACCGGTTCATATTTATGACGGTCGGTGGTACGTGTCCCTGAGATCCTCTTTTGTGACCTTCTGACATGCAAAGTCAATGTGGAAGCCAGATTCACTGGACAATTGTGTTACTAATTTAACAACTGCAGGGATCCACGGAACCACCGTGGCAAGGAAAATCCCAAAATGGGGCAAAACTCCCTTAACGAATTCAGCTCCAAACGAATAACCAATCATGCGACCAACTGACCAAACTGGCACCCAAGACATTTATAAGCTAAGGAGAATAGGATATGTACATTCTGCTGATGACGTTACCTAGTCTGGTAATGAAACGTTCGGAAATAAATTGAAGCAAGCTTGGAGAGCAAACCACTGCCGAAATCTAAAACCCGAGCTACAAGTATTTTCTATTATGTCGCTTAACAAATGTCTCACTTAGCAACAGAAATGCGGGGCTCAATTGTGGTCGTAAGTCGAGGACTACCTCTCCAGTATTTTCAAATTCTTCCACAACCCTCTGAGACAAAAAGCAATTGACAAATGTTCCTTGATAATGTTTGCAATCTTTCTGCACCGAAAATCATCTCCGTCTGAAAGTTCACTTATTTATGCCGTGTTTCCCAATGAGCCCAAATGCGACTCCGGAGATTGAGTTTAGAGTTTAAGAGTTTATTGGATTTCTATACTGCCCTTCTCCCAGGGGACTCAGGGCGGTGTACAGCCACATTAAAACACCAATTAAAATTTAAAACCAATTAAAACACATATATACAATTTGGCCCTTAATTAAAACACACATACACCCACTTGAAATTCCTATTAGGCCAGTCCGGCTTGCTGAAACAGGAAGATCTTTAGGGCACGGCGAAAAGTACGCAGGTCGGGGCTAAGACGAAGCTCTGGGGGCAGCTCATTCCAAAGGGCTGGTGCCCCCACAGAGAAGGCTCTCCCCCTGGGTGTCGCCAGTCGGCATTGTTTGGCTGACGGCACCCTGAGGAGCCCCTCTCTATGGGAGATTGATAGAAAAATTATTCATCTATCGATAATAAAAGGGAAAGAAAAATGGGTGTATTTAGCCAACGAACACCCATGAAACTTAAGATTTCCCATCATCCATAAAGATACATTCATTGCCTTATATAATAAGGAACTATTACAGTGGGGGGGAAAAACATAACATATTTATCTAAGACGTATTTCACACCAAGAAATGAGTTTTCCCCCATTCAGGGAAGAAAGCGGAGGAGGAGGAGGAGGAAGAGGAGAAGAAGAAGAAGGGGGGGGGGGAAAGTGCCTTGGGTTATAGTTTTAAATTCTTCCCCCACCTGTAAAACAGACAGTCTGGGAATTTCACCTCTACTTACAGGGGTTGTTGAGTAAGGGTCTCACACCCTTGACGTTGGGTTTCTGCTTTTTTAAGTTCTTTACGTCGCCTTCTCCACTCCGGGAGTCCAAGTTTACACCCAGCAATAAATTCTTTCCCAGCTGCACATCAAACAGAGTGGCACATTTGAAGCCGGAGTGAGTGACAGTGGGAACAACTTCTGTTGCTTGTGTCCGTGAGATCCCACCCTCCCGGGCTGGATGCAAATGAGCCCGATCAGGAAAGCAGAGGAAACCAGGCCTGCACAGTTCAGATTACAAAGTTGGGAGCTTGAGATATGGACGTCCCCCAAGGGCCAAAGGACAGGCGACACAGGAAGATTGCAATTAAGCAATAACTTTTTTTCCCCCAATTTTAACAAAGCGAGGAAGGAAGGCTTTAATTCAGAAGGAGAAGGGGAGGGGGGGTGAATTAACTCTTTTGGCCTCTTTGCAGGATCAAAACCAGCCCTGTCCAAATATTAGGATAAAAAGCACACAGATCTATCGTTCTAGTAAGCTAACAACAGCATCGCGTGGGAGTGAGGGCATGGATGCAGAGAGAGAGAGAGAGAGAGAGGGAGGGAGAGAGAGAGAGAGAGGGAGGGAGGGAGAAAGAGAGAGAGGGAGGGAGGGAGAGAGAGAGAGAGGGAGGGAGGGAGGGAGGGAGAGGGAGAGAGGGAGGGAGGGAGGGAGAGGGAGGGAGGGAGAGAGAGAGAGAGGGAGAGGGAGAGAGAAAGAGGTTTAAATCCAGGGATCGATACAAAAGGGATCCAGCAGTGACTTTCCCAACAGCATGGATCTATTTGAAGCCGATCTAAAGGTTTGTACGAGCGAACTTTAAACGAAAGGCAAACTCCGAAGCTTGCAGGAAAAATGCAAGGAAATGGTCGTAAGTCACTTTTCTTCAGTGCCGTTGTAACTTTGGTCACTAAACGAACTGTTGTAAGTGGAGGATTACCCATTTGGGGGTACACTGTTATAATTTTAAACTGTTTTTAATAGGGTTGTTGATTTTAATTTTCTTTCATTGTGATTTGTATTGGAAGTTGTCATTTTGTAAGCCGCCTTGAGTCCCTAGGGAGAAAGGCGGCGTATAAATCGCAATAATAAAAATAATAAAATGAAATATGCCATAATCTTTCCCTGTTCAAGGTTACTCACTTCCCATGGTCACGTGAACAAAATCCAGGCGCTTGGTAAGAGACTCATATTTTTGACGGTTGCTGTCAGAGTTTAGGCAGCGTAACTAGTATTATGCGATAAACCCAGGAACAATAACACAGTACACAGCACACAGAGCTTTTTAGATATAACAGTGGTGTTACATACAGTGAACTATACAAACTTATAGGTGATTAAATACCTGTATAGCTACAGATACACAGACGAGCAATAATGCACACCGAGAGAACAAGAAGTATAATGCACGAGGAGGAGGCTTGAGGAAGAAGGTTTGAGGAGAAGGAACGCCCTCCAATGGCTTCCTTTATATAGGCAGCTTCTGGCCCATTCTGCTGCCTCATTCTGTTGCATCATCTTCTGGCTTACAACTCAGCTTACAGCTGTTAACTCTTTCATACCCTGACAGGTTCAGTGCCATTTTTGCGACCTTCTGACATGCAAAGTCAATGGGGGAAGCCAGATCCACTTTCTTAACTATCATGGTCCCTCACTTAACAACTGCCATGATTCACTTAACAACTGTGGTAATAAAGGTCATAAAATGAGGCAAAATTCACTTAACAAAAGTCTCACTTAGCAACACAATTTTTGGATCCAAATATGGCCGTAAGTTGAGGATTACCTGTATTAAGTTGCGGGGTGTTATGCGGCAGGTGCTTGCCTGATTGAATTCTAAAGTCCCAGAGCAAAAGGCTATACAGTATTTGGAGTTGAACTGTTTTGTTAAACAGAACATAACGGTGAACTTGAACAAGGACATCTGCCTCTTGCTTAGAAAAGCCTGACTATTAAAGTGATGGATGAGACCCTGGTACCAGGTTGCTTAGGAATGTTTTAGTAAGGAGGAATGTTAGCGATAAGGTAAAAATCTTAGCCTATCTTTGTTGTGGTCTGCCCGTAGCCTGCGGAGCTGGCAGGAGAGTCGGACAGTGAGGAGGTTGGGGAGGAAAATGGGCCAGTCCTGGAGTCTGGGGAAGCTCGGACGAGGGCTCTGCATTGGAGGCAGAGAAAGGGCCATCTGGGAGGTACTGTATATGCTGCCTCCGGAGCCTCTAGAGTCGGACCTCAGCGAGGCAGAGGAACAGGGGGAGCCTGTTCCCAGTGCATGCATGCGCAGAGCTGCCAGAAGGCAAGAACAGTTAAAACAAAAGGGACGACTCAGGAGTAGGGCTTGGAGATGATTGGCCCCTCCCATAAGACTTAAAAGAGGAGTAAAGGCACGTGGGCCTTTGCAGGAAGCAACGTTGTTAATTCTGTGCAGTTTAAAGTCTGAAGCTCTGTTTGATTCTGGACTCCGTGTGGCTTTGCCAATTAGGTCTTTGGCAGCGTGTCAAGGGAGATAAAGGTGGGTGATTATCAGCCTTATCCCGAAGGACTCTTTACAACTATTTGGGATTCATCTGTGAATGAACAGAATTCACAGCTGTTGCAATAAAAGAGGTTTTTGGGACTACTCGTGTGTTTTACTGACTCAGTAAAGCTCAGGAAGCTCAGAACAATCTTCTAACCTTTAGCCGAACTGTTTTACTATGACTACTGAAGATGTATTTAACAGATTAACAAAATTGGAAGGAACCTTGTAGGTCCGTGATGGCGAAGCTATGGCATGCGTGCCAGAAGTGGCATGCAGCGCCCTCTCTGATGGCACACGAGCCATCGCCCCAGTTCAGCTTTGCCGTGCATGCGCGCGCACATCTCCCACTGGCCAGCTGGTCTTCGGGTCTCTACCGTGGATGTAGGGTGGGGCGTGTGCGGGATCCGCATGCACATGTGCAGGGGCGTGCACGAAGGGCTGTGCATGCATGCTCGGGGCACATACGGGGGCACATGTGCATGTCTGGTGGGTGGGGTGCTGTGGGGGCATGCGGATGCGCAGGAGGCAGGGTGCATGCAAGAGGGCATTTTGGGGGTTCGGGCGCGCATGCGCATTTAAGCGCGCCCGAATGAGCTTTGGGCACTCGATACAGAAAAGGTTAGCCATCACTGTTGTAGGTCATCTAGTCCAACCCCCCCCCCCAAGAAGTTTTTAAGAAGAGATAGGACATTTTGTCGGAAATAGTATAGGGTTTCCTGTCTGAGCAGGAGAGTTGGACTAGAACAGGGATCTCTAGCCTTGGCAACTTTAAGACTTGTGGATTTCAACTCCCAGAATTCCTCAGCCAGCTTTGCTTTGCTGGCTGAGGAATTCTGGGAGTTGAAGTCCACAAGTCCACAAGTGCCAAGATTGGAGAGCCCTGGACTAGAAGACTTCAAAGATCCCTTTCTAATGTAGGTAATGGGAGTCCAGCTAGATGATCACTGAAGGGCCCTCTTTATTCATAGTATTGTAAGAAAGAAAATGTGCCTGTTTGAGAGAAGCAACTAACTATATCCAGTTGAAACAGTACAAAGATAAATGAGAAATTCCTTTGAAGTAGAAACATTCTATAAGAGGGGCCCCTCAGTTGTCAGAGATAGAGACATTTGGTGATATACAGTTTGAAGGTTAAAAAGACCAAGGATGACCACATGAAATATCAACAAGAGATAATTTGAATCTATGCTTCAGTGATTTACAAGAAGAATTATGACTGTTTAGCAAAGATAATATAACAAACTTTGTAATTAGAAAAATGTCATTTGATGTAACGAATGTCTGCAATGATAAAACTGCTGAGTTAACAGAATCCTTTGTTTGAAACTGTATAAAACTAGGGTCTCAGGATCATAATGTTGCTCCGATCTTGAGGTATCAATACCTATCTGATCCTTATTGCAATAATAAACTGACTCTGTCTGCCCCGAAGGGATGTCTCTTAATTCCTTCCTTCCATAACATCTCAACTCTCTTCTCCTCTCCCACCGTAATCCTATCCTATCCTATCCTATCCCATCCCCTCCATTTTCTGATTCATTGACTTCCGTGAGCTTTTTTTTTTTTTTTTAAGCTTAAAAGGCTTGCAATGGTGTAACTGGACGGATCAGCTGAAATTTATCACGGGTCAGTGATAGGAGGTGGAGACAACCTATGCAGTGAAAGAGGGCTGCATTCCTCCCAAGCATTTTTCTTCTCCGGAAGCAATGAAAGAACCAGCTGGGAACCATCAAGCTCTTTGCCGGAATGTCGTCTGGCTCCAAGATCCTGGACAGTATTAAAGCAGGTCAGGGAGGCCTCTTTTTTGCATTAACAAGTTGAGGTTTGGAATTAGCAGCAGTTTATTTATACGAGGCACAGCTGTTCCCAACCTGGGCCTTTTCAAGTATAGGGCAGCTCCCAGAGAGAAATGCTGGGTTTTTCATTTATTCATTTTTGCAAAAGGCAGCCCAAGATAGAGACCCCCAGCCTTTCGGGCACCAGGGACCGGTTCCACGGAGAGAGGTTTTTCCGTGGGGGTGGGGGTGGTTTTGCATGCTGCCTGCATCCTTGTTCGTGTGGTCTGGTTATAGGCATGCTGGTTTGCCTGGGTTTCAATTCTTTTTACTACCGGTTCTGTGGAAGTGGCTTGGTGGGCGTGGCAGGGGAAGGTTACTGCAAAATCTCCATTCCCTCCCCACTCCAGGGGAAGGATACTGTAAAATCCTCCATTCCCACCCCACTCCAGGGAAAGGATACTGCAAAACTGTAAAATCTCCATTCCCATCCCACGGGAAGGATACTGTAAAATCTCCATTCCCATCCCACGGGAAGGATACTGTAAAATCTCCATTCCCTCCCCACTCCAGGGGAAGGATACTGTAAAATCTCCATTCCCACCCCACGGGAAGGATACTGTAAAATCTCCATTCCTCCCCACTCCAGGGGAAGGATACTGTAAAATCTCCATTCCCTTCCCACTCCAGGGGAAGGATACTACAAAATCCCCATTTCCTTCCCCACTCCAGGGGAAGCTTACTGTAAAATCTCCATTCCTTTCCCACTCCAAGGGAAGGATACTGTAAAATCTCCATTTCCACCCCACTCCAGGGGAAGGTTACTGCAAAATCCCCATTTCGTCCCCACTCCAGGGGAAGGTTACTGCAAAATCTCCATTCCCATTCCACTCCAGGGGAAGGTTACTGCAAAATCCCCATTCCCTCCCACTCCAGGGAAGGTTACTTCAAAATCCCCATTCCCTCCCGATCAGCTGGGACTCGGGAGGCAGAGAATAGATGGGGGCGGGGCCAGCCAGAGGTGGTATTTACCGGTTCTCCGAAGTACTCAAAATTTCCGCAACCGGTTCTCCAGAACTGGTCAGAACCTGCTGAATACCACCTCTGGATCAGGAGACAGGGACCCCTGACCCAGCTCATTCAGCTTCAGTGCAAGGCCCTTTTGTAGTTTGTCAAATGCAAAAGACCTTATTTGTAAATCATGTTGGTTAGGGAAGACACTTGTATTGCTAAACCAGTGTTTCTGGGGTTGGTTCAAATCCAAAGTTGCTTGCTGACTTTTCTCTTAACTCAGGTGCCTTTGCTTGCCCCAAAGGCTGAATTAATAATAATTAATAATAATAATCCTAATAATAATCATAATAATAAAACAACTAGGACGCTGGCAGCAACCGTATCAACCATTAGCACCAGTCAATGGTATTTGTGATGCATTTTTGAATGTTCAGTTGACTGAGTTTCATATTTAATGAATAATAATAATAAAAAGGACAATTTTATCCCATGAGAAATCAAAGGCTGCATTATTCCGTATACTTCTCTGGAAGCAACTTGGACTTTACTTCTGAGTAAATGGAATACTATTGTTAGTTTAAAAGTGAGCAAGCCTTCACTCCTTTGCATCCATTGCAGTCCAGGTAGTCCCTGCCTTACGACCACAATTGAGCCCCAAATTTCTGTTGCTAAGGGAAACATTTGTTAAGGGAGTTTGCCCTTCCTTGCCAAAGTGGTTAAAGTGAAGTTGTTAATAACATGGCTGGTAGGTGAATCGGACTTCCCCACTGACTCTGCTTCTCAGAAGGTTGCAAAAGATGACCTGATCCTGGGACACTGCAACCATCATAAAAACCTGTGACAAGTCTCTGAATTTTGATCAGAAGACCATGGGGATGCTACTACGGTCATAAGTGTGAAAACCGGTCATAAGTCACTTCTTTCAGAGTCGTCATAACTTTGAACTCTTACTAAACGAACTGTTGAAAGTTGAGGATTACCTGTCTATGCCATAATCTTTCCCTATTCAAGGGTTACCCTTTACCAAGTTTCTGGTATTTTTTCTTCCTTTCTTTATCATAGGGGGTGTCCAACCTTGGCAACTTTAAGACTTATGGACTTCAGCCCCTGAAGGGAAGGGAAGGGAAGGATGGAGGGAGGGAGGAAGGAAAGAAAAAGAGAAAAAAGAGTGAGAGAGAAAGAGAGAGAGAGAAAGCAAGAGAGAGAGAGAAAGAAAGAGAAAGAGAAGGAAAAAGAAAAAAAGGAAAGAAAAAAGAGAAAAAGAGAGAGAGAAAGAGAGAGGGAAGGAGAGGAAGAGAGAGAGAGAAAGCAAGAGAGAGAAAGAAAGAAAGAGAAAGAAGGAAAAAGAAAAGAGGAAGGAAGGAAGGAAAGAAAGAAAGAGAAAGAGAAAGGGAGAAAGAGAGAAAGAAAGAGAAAGAAAGAGAAAGAAAGAGAAGGAAAAAGAAAAGAGGAAGGAAGGAAAGAAAGAGAGAGAAAAAAGAGAGAAAGAGAGGGAGGGAGAAAAAAAGAGAAAGAGAGAGAGAGAGAAAGAAAGAGAAAGAGAAAAAAAGAAGGAAGGAAGGAAAAGGAAGGAAGGAAGGAAGAAAGGCTAAAAAAAAGATGTTTATTTATTTTGACAAAAATTAATGGTTTCTCTTTATGCTTGAAGAGTTGAATTGTGGCTGAAATGTTACTCCTCCGAGGCACACCTATCCAATAAATAATCTCTCTTTTAAACAAAGTCAATAATTGACATTACAATACAAACTCCCCGGTTTTGTGTGTAAATGCGGGAAGGGTGGTAAACGACACCCTGAATTTACTGTTTGATCTGGCTCAAAACTAGAGACGTTGTCAGTTTGATCTATGTCGAAAGCCAGCAGACCACGAGACCTGCACTTTGTATTTTATTGCCTATTAAAATGAAAGCCCACAAAACCGTAGAGCAAACAATTAGCACAAAACCAAAGTCTTCAATCACCTTTTCCTTTTTTTTTTTTTTATCACCAGTTGCTTTGGTCTGGCATCTTTGCATAGTTGTGTTTGTTGTGTGCTACCTTCTCTGATATAGTGGATATTTATTTCAGTGGCTGAACACACGGAAGGAGCCGTGCGACTCCAGAGGACTCCGCGCAGCTTAGATTAACCACAAGAAAACGAAAGGAAAGAAGCAAACCGTTTTACCAGCTGTGAGAAGTTTTATGTCAAAATACATTTCACCTGCCCTTAAACATTAACAGAATCCACAATGGAGTGAGAATCAGAGTCTCCACTAGACAACTGATAGTCAAGCTGAAACTAAGTTAGTCAAGTACAAACAGCAAACAGGGGGAAATCTTTTACTCAAACTTTTTCAAATCCCCAAAGAGGTTACCCAGACCTAATCCACATATCAAAGGAGAAGGTCTGTAAATACAAGTAGAGTTAATTAAATGAGGTCTCCCAGCAGAACTCCATGTTCACAAGAATAAACATCATAGATGGCACACCTACACACATACACGCACACCTCAAGTGTCATCCTTGAATCAGCACAGAGACACTTCCACATCCAGGACAAGTTCCTCCTATAACCGTGATGGTGAACCGATGGCACGTGTGCCACAGGTGGCATGCGGAGTCATATCTGTGGGCACGCGAGCACTGCCCTAGCTCGCAAGTGCATGCTGGCCAACTGATTTTCAGGTCTTCTGGGCCCACCGTAAGTCAGGAAATGGGATGTTTCTGGCCCCGGAGGGCCTCCGGGAGGAAGGTGGGGAAGGCTGTTTTTGCCCTCCCCAGGCTCCTAGAAAGGCTCTGGAGCCTGCGGAAGGCGAAAAATGGGCTACTGAGCCTACCGTGCCATCGTGTGTCAAAAGCAGGGGGAGCGTGGGGGGTCATGCATGCATGCACGGGGGGTGGGGCACATTGAATTATGGGTGTGGACATATGTGCGTGCGACCCCCCGCACTCCCCCCGCTTTTGGCAAAAAAGTTAGCCATCACTGCCGTATAACAATCAGCTGCTGTACCCCATCTCTCTAGAACTGCCCTTAAAAGACAAACTCTTTGCTTTTAGGAATAAGTATTTCTTCTTTTCTCACAGATGTCTGGATCTCATTTTTATTTATTCTTGCGCAACACCGGCTCGAGTTGGAATCCCAAATTATTCTTCCTAACATAACCTACAACATCTCACAGTGATTCAACGTCCACCTTGCCCCAGGATCTCTGAGAACAGCCAAGTTTTCAATAGAAGTGGCTAGAGCAGTGCACCAAGTGCTGAAAAGGTAACGTGGAAACGTTGCACACACGTGTTCGTCAGGGCCGCAGTCTGGAAAAGCCGAACTTCTGGGTTCTACCGTGCATGCATGCCCAACGATCAGCTGGTTGGCGCACAAGCCCAGGCTGGTTGTCAGCATTGCCGCACGGGCGAAGGGATCGCACTCTGGAAAAGCCGAACTTCCGGGTTCTGGCGGGCATGCGCACCCAACGATAATCAGCTGAGTGGTGTGCATGCGCAAACTGGTTTTTGGCACTGCCGCACGTGCGAAGGACAGCTGATCGTCGTGCGTGCATGCATGCCAGTAATCCGTGATCACATGATCACGGGGATGCTTCAAAGGTCGTAAGTGTGAAGAATGGTCAAAGGCACTTTTTTCAGAGCCATTGTGACTTCAGACGGTCACTAAATGAACAGTTGTAAGTCGAGGACTACATATAATTGTAAATATTTTTCACAATGCTTATCTGAAGCAGCTCCAGGTTGCATGGAAACTTTGGGAAATGCTTTTGCGTGATCTTGCAACCTCCGAAAAAAGACAGGAAAGTACATCCTATTCTTGTATGATTTTGGGAAGGTCCAGAGGCTGAATGAAAGTAAGGCTCTCTTGCATGACTTCCAAAGGATTGGGGGGCCTGGCGTGTCACCAAAAATGACATGGCACGTCACTTTTGACACATGTGTCTTAGGTTTGCCACCAGGCTCAGTTCTCTTATCTGGGTCAACCTGCTGAAAGAGAGAGAGAGATAGAGGAAAGAGAGAGATAAAGAGAGAATGGAAAGAGAGAGACAAATAGATAGAATGATATGATAGATAAATAGATAGATGATAGGTATGGTAGGTAGGTAGGTAGATATGGTAGACAGACAGACAGACAGACAAGACGATAGATAGATGATAGATAAATAAGATAGATAGATAGATAGATAGATAGATAGATAGATAGATAGATAGATAGGAAAGATAAATAGATAAGATAGATAGATAGAATGATAGATAGATAGATAGATAGATAGATAGATAGATAGATAGATAGACAGACAGACAGACAGACAGACAGACAGACAGACAGACAGACAGATACAGTAGGTAGGTAGCTAGGTAGATACGGTAGACAGACAGACGATGATAGATACATAGATAGGTAAGAAAGATGATAGATAGATAGATAGATAGATAGATAGATAGATAGATAGATAAGAGAGACAAAAAGATAGAGAAACAGAGAAATGAAAGAGAGACAAAAAGAGAGAACGAGAGATAGAGGAAAGAGAGGGACAAAAAGATTGGGAAAGAGGAAAGAGGGAGAGAAAGAGAGAGAGAGAGCCTTGGAGATGAAGTTAAACATTTGTTGGTGGGGCTGAAGTGTTCTGTCCACAAACTACAATGTTTCCCAATATGGTTAACAGAAACTTAAGCCAATATAATAACCCTTTTCTTTGTATATTATTGCTAAATATGGTAGGAATAATACTTAATTGAACATCTACTCTGCATTCTCAATCACCACTAGTTTTCAAGCCTTGGTACACTAATTTGCAATATTCTTCTGCCCACAGGTTTTCCACTGAACAAGAATAACGCTTCATTTTCTAAATTCCTGGATCCTGTGTCTTTCGGAATAGTTAAGACCTCAGCTAACATACAAACAGCAAAAAGCAAGCGATGCGCTTTCAAGAGCATTACTTCATCCACTTGTTATTTATTTATTAAATTTATGTAGCTGCCCGTATCACGTTACGAAAGGATTAATATTTCATTTTGCTTTCCTTCCTTCTCTCCTTTTAATCTTCATGGAAAATGCTTCGGGGAAAGAAGTCTCTAATTATGCAGAAACACACAAAAGAATTTATTTTCCCTGAGAGAAGTTTGAAAACATGAGATAAACCAACGTTCATTGGCTGATATTTGTAAACATTTCCAGAAAGGCAGAAACACCGAAATACATTGACTTAATTGAGCTGATATCATTTTGGATTTTCCCCGGGGAAAGCAATTTGGAAGTCAAGAGATCTGCATTTCACCCTAACCCCATTCTGCCTGATCATGGCATGTGGCTTTGGTTTCAAAGACCGTCTGGTCACAGAAATTTATCATCCTGGTTCTCAATAGGAAAGCTATTGCTTAGCGCATTGTAAGCCGCCCTGAGTCTCCGGAGAAGGGCGGCATATAAATCAAATTAAAAATAAATAAAAAATAAAAAAATAAATAGGGTCACACATCCCTAAGGAGAACTGGTCCACAATTGGAGGGTTTTCTTGAGATTTTCATCTCCTGATCAATGACCTTGTGGTAGCCATGGGACAACGCCAGGAGGGCCATTGCACAAATCATCTAGTTTAATGAAGGACTAGGGGAGACATGATAGCAGTGTTCCAATATCTCAGGGGCTGCCATAAAGAAGAAGGAGTCAAGCTATTCTCCAAAGCACCTGAGGGCAGGACAAGAAGCAATGGGTGGAAACTAATCAAGGAGAGAAGCAACTTAGAACTAAGGAGAAATTTCCTGACAGTTAAAACAATTAATCAGTGGAACAACTTGCCTCCAGGAGTTGTGAATGCTCCAACACTGGAAGTTTTTAAGAAGATGTTGGATAACCATTTGTCTGAAGTGGTGTAGGGTCTCCTGCCTAAGCAGGGGGTTGGACTAGAAGACCTCCAAGGTCCCTTCCAACTCATTCTATTCTATTCTATTCTATTCTATTCTATTCTATTCTATTCTATTCTAGTCTAGTCTAGTCTAGTCTAGTCTCACTGTTTGGAAATTTCTCCTTAATTCCAGGTTGCTTCTCTCCTTGATTAGTTTCCATTCATTCTTTCTCATTCTGCCCTCTGGTGCTTTGGAAAATAAGTGGACCCCCTCCTCTTTGTGGCAACCTCTCAAATACAGGAATACCGCTATCATATCACCCCTAGTCCTTCTTTTCTCTGGACTGGCCATACCCAATTCCTGCAACCGTTCTTCCTATGTTTTAATCTCTAGGCCTTTAATCGTCTTAGTTGCTCCTCTCTGCACTTTTTCCAAAGTCTCAACATCGTTTTTGTAACGTGGTGACCAAAACTGATTGCAGTATTCCAGATGTGGTCCTTACTAAGACTTTATAAAGCGGTACTAATACTTCACGTGATTTTGATTCTATGCCTGTTTATACAACCAAGGATCATATTAGCTTTTTTGGCTGCTGCTGCACACTGCTGACTCATGTTTAAATGATCATCGACTAGGACTCCAAGGTCCCTGCCACCGTTACTGTTTTGGAGCTTGGTGTCGCCTACTGTTCTGCCCCAGCTACGGACCCCAAAGTACGCAGCACACACAAAGTCCGTTCAAACCTTAGTTTACTGAATAAACCAGTGTTTTACAACAACAGTTGTTAATTAATTGCATTAACAGCCGCCAAGAATTCAAAGAATAATAACTGAAAGCTTACTATGGTTGGCAGAATGCCCAGAAGCAATTTGCAGGAAGCTGATAAGATAAGCAAGACAAGACACGAAGGTATGTGAACTAAGTTGTTCCCTGCAAATTGCTTCAGTCGGTGTTCCTCCTTAAATAGGCTAAGGGAGTGGCCAATTAGCCCCAAGCCTTACTCTCGAGGAGACCTCTTCCTAAGGAGGCCACTCCTGCCTTTTGGCAGCTCTGCATGCCCGTGCATCGAGAAGAGGCTCCTCCTCTTCGTCCTCTTCACTTAAGGCAGCTTCTGGAGGTTCTGAAGGCCCTGGCTGAATCCACGTCTCTGGCACTACATCTTCTCCAGCCTCCTCATTGTCCTACTCAAGTGCCAGCTGTACAGGCTGCTGGCGCAGCACCACACCAGCCTCTTCGCTGTCGGAATCAGCTACTAGCTGCACAGACCACGTACGGGCCACAACACCTAATCTGTAGTTGTACCTTTGGTTTTTCCTCCCTAGGTGTAAAACCTTTACTTTTCTCCACATTAAATTCCATGTTGTTGGATAGGGCCAATGGTTTGGCTCAGGCTAAGAAAATACGCCATGAATTAGATTCTAATCAATTCAGTGCTACCTCAGGTTTGATGAGATGATCCTCACCTTGGAGTGATACTGTAGAGAGAGAATAAGCCTAGCACATAATTAGAAAGCAATTACTCATCAAAAATTAATCAGGATATTAATTAAACACAGTGTCCTATTTAAATACAAGCCGGTGTTACATTTCCAGTTGCTGATGAGAAAGCAACAGCGAGGACAAACTGTCAAGCAAACCCACATTTTAATATCGCCGTCAAAAGAAGAGAGAGACCTATGACACCCTAACAAATTAGTAACTTAAAAATTGTTTATGTAATAATCACGATCAGAGGGAAGGATTTAGCGTCGGAGTAAGCTTCTAAAAATTTAATCTCGCTAGAAATGCATTAAAGACATGAGGAATGTAACATTTTTTGGACTACCTTCTAACATTTTTTAATTAACAAGGAGCTCTCAAACTAAGGGTTGCCATAATTAAGAAAATTAGGAAGGGATTCCAGTACAGATAGTCCTTGACTTACAACAGTCCATTTAATGATCTATTGCTGCCTCCTGAGTCCCAGCTGATGGGCTATAAGGAAAAACTGTTTAAATTCTTGCTGTGGGGCTTCAAAGGGCCGCCCTACAGCTGATCAGTGTTAAAAGGCAGTGTGGTGGTAGACTGGTGCCTCCAAAAACAAATGAGTAGACCGGTGCCTGCAAAAATAAATGGGTAGACCAGTGCCTCCCAAAACAAATGAGTAGACCGGTGCTTCCAAAAATAAATGAGTAGATCGGTAGAACTCTGCAAGCAGTTAAAAGCCTGGTAGACCAGTACCTCTGCTAAATCCTAAAGAATTGTCACATGACCATCAAGCCACGCCCACAAAGTAAGCCACGCCCACAGAACCGGTAGTAAAAAAATTTAGAACCCACCCCTGGTTCTAACCACTGCTCCGCCATGGCTCTTAGAAGAAGATAGACAACCACTTCTTAAGGATAACTTAATTGATTTTTTTCCTGCATGTTGCAGTGGGTTGGTCTATATGATCCTTGTGGTCCCTTCCAACTCCACAATTCCTTGATTCTATATGTGGTAAACTATTACTAGCAGTTACCGGCAGCTCATTGACCCTGAAGCATTGTTTGGCTTCTGTTGTAAATGTTTGTCTCTAGCATCTCTGACAACAGGGCATGAAATAATGCATTCATTGTCTTTGGCAAATCTGTAAGTAAATTTAATGAGTTTATCTAAGGCTAAGAGCAGACAATGTGATGAAAAGTCCATCTTTTGGCTTAACAGGAGCTTTTGTTACTGGAGAAGGTCAGCTTCAGTGGGTTAATTGGCAAGAAAACATAGTTTGCGGAGCATAAACAGCCAAGCAACATAAAAAGGAAACCAGGAAAAGAAGTAATAAGGTTCTATCATTGTTTATTTGATATACTGATAAAAACCAATTTAAAAACTAATTACTGGTCCTCAACTTATGACTGCTGTTGGGATGAGAATTTCCACTGCCAAGCAAAGCAGTTTTTAAGTGAGTCAGTCCCAATTTCTGAAACCATTTTTGCCAGGGTTATTAAGCCAAATCACGGCAGCGAGTTGTGCAGTGACTCGCGCAATTTAATTTAATAAATTTATTGGCTACCCAGCTGTCAGGACAGAAAGTTGATAGATGCCGCAAAAGTCAGGATCTTGTTCAGAAAGGATCATTACTTCCAACAATGGTCTCTACCACTATCTTAGAAAGACCTGAGGCCAATGGTGGGATTCAAATCATTTAACAACAATCGGTTCTCTGCCCTCATGACCGGTTGGGTGGGCGTGGCCATGGTGGGTGTGGCCAGGGGGTGTGACAGGCAGCACTCAGCTTCCTGCATCCCTCTGGGAACAAAAACAGGCCGCGGGGGGGGGGGAGTGCCCCGTTTTGGGTCTAGTAGGCCTCCCTGCAGCCTACCGGGAGCAAAAATGGGCTGCGGGGGGAGGGGGCGCTGCCCCCCGAGCCCCGTTTTGAGCCTAGTAGGCTTCCTTGCACTTACCTGGGAGCCAAAACGGGGTGTGTGGGGACTTCTGGAAGGGGCGGGGCAGGGAGGGGTGGAGCCAGCCAGCAATTTAACAACCGGTTCGGCCGAAGTGGTGTGAACCGGTTGAATCCCACCACTGCCTGAGACCCCAGCATGTATCTATCGTGATTGCTTGAATTCACGGGGAAAATATGAACAGTGAAATAACAAAGTTATAACAATGTTTATAAGGAGCCTTGGTGGCGCAGCGGACTAAAGTGCTGTTAAGTAGCATTTAGCTGCCAGCTGCCTGCACTTACTGTAAGTTCAAATCTCACCAGGCTCAAGGATGATTCAGCCTTCCATCCTTCCGAGGTAGGTAAAATGAGGACCTGGATTGTGGGGGCAATAAGCTGACTTTGTATAAAATAGAATACCGCTCAGTGGGGGCCCAAAAAGCCCTACTAAGCAGGTATATACAAAAGTATGAAGGCTATTGCTTAACGCATTGTAAGCCGCCCTGAGTCTCTGGAGAAGGGCGGCATATAAATCGAACCAATAAATAAAAAATAATAAAATAAAAGAAAGCCTTTTTTTTTTCATTTCCAGAGAGATAGCAATCTTAATTCAACTGTTCTTAATAAAGTCAACTCGATATTGGCCTCGCCTGGAAAATTGTGCTACTCTTTCATTCATCTCTGCCTTCTAAGGTTTATGAGAAAAAGATGTTGCTTCTCTCATTTCAGTTCTAAAAATC